CTCTGGCAAAAGAGAGAGGCAACAAAAATACGCATCCTCTGGAGGCAGGAATGGGAGTACAACTGATAATGAAAGTAGAGTATGTTAATTTTGTTCTTTTTCTAATTTCCATCATAAGAAGCTCTGCTACAGTTATCTAGAGGTATAGGGGATTCAGGACATTAAATATTCTACATGTAATAGTCTATAGTCTCTAACTATATCTGTCGAATGGACTACCTCCCCTACACAGTACATGGCAGCTGAACTGCTGCACAGTAGAGATGGTAAATGCCTGCTTGACACTTGGAACAAAATGACAGTAAAGGATAATGGGTTACCTTACCAGCTTGATTCTCAGACAATATTAAAAGCCAGAAAACATTTGAGTGGAAAACTGAAGATCTAAATAAGCAGAGAAGAAAGAAAAAACATGCAAGGAATTAGAAGTCAAAACAAGGCTGACGATGTTAAGTTTGTACTGAGTAGTTTTTATTTTTTCACCTCCTGGGTTGGGGGTAATGGAGTATTTTTAAAAATGCAAAAATACCTGATAAGTACATTTATACAGGTATTTATAAAGTCTAAAAACAAACCCCAAATTAACCTTACAGCAAATTGTATGGGCACAGTATCCTGTTAATTTCATTGCAGTTGTATTGTGAAACAAATCAACTTTCAAAATAGTAGTCTGAAAATAGTATTCACACATTATGTGAAATGTGTAACACTTGGCTTTTTGGGTTAAGAGATGTAAAACTATTACAATTACCTCTACCTATAAATAATCTCTTTGTTTTTAAAAGCATGTATAAATAACAACACTTCATAGAGCTAACATTTATTTTCTTAGTTGAGAGAACTACCTGAAATAACTCGAAAGTTTAGTCCTTTAAGGGATAACTCATTTCATGATGATGGAAATGTAAGGCACAGGTTCTCTAATGAACACAAGAATGAGGGTGGGCTATGATTTTTTTTGTGGATATCACATCTCTATAAACATGAAAAGCTGACAAACAATCTTTCTCTTCTCAATAACTTGCCCTACATGTATTTGCAGTGGGCAACTTGAGGAAGTAGCTTATGGGGAAGGGGGATCTTGGAGTTTCCAGGCATACAGAATCTGCAGAAGTTTGCTAAATATGGCATCACCCACAGACAGCTCTGTGAAGTGGTTTGATGCCCGTGATCTCTGGACAAGGAACCAAACATGTCCTGTGCATGCTTGGGATATTCCCAGAGAGCAGCCAGATGATCCTGTCTTTTAGAAGCAGCAGAGGAAGGACTCACGCTGGGTCCCATGGAGAAAGGGAAGAAGCCATTGTAGGCCACAAGTTACAACACCAAAACAGGAACACATTTTGAGCACTGACAGAGAAGCAAAATGAAAAAAAAATGGAGCAAGCTGCTGCAGCAGTTGAGCTGAGACCAAACGTCAGATACTCAGCAGGAGTGAGAAGGAGAGAATTGTTCTTCAACTAGAAGAAATGGCCAAAAGTGAATAGAAACTGAATGATCACAGCCAAAAGAAAATCAACGCAGAATGAAAGCGGGAGCCCTCCTGCCCCTGAATCATAGCTCCAGCCCAGGGCACTTAAGAGGAACTTTGGTACCCATCACAGAGGCATTACTTTGTATAAACTACATCTGTTCACTATCAGAGTTACCAACAGAACATTCTTGGAGAATATTTCCCACAGATTATTGCACTTTTAATAGAACATATAACAGAATATCTAGAATGCCAAGGTTTGTAACGACCCAACCAAACCTTTACGTAAAAAAACGAAGAGTAAAACATAGCCCCCCAAAATGCCCGTTACTCTGCTAACATCCTTCTACAAATATCCACATGCCACCTACAACATGTCAATGAGAGAGCCTCAAGCTTGGAACGAAACAACAGTGATGGGAGAAAATAAATGGAAAAAGATGTCCTCTTGCTTTTTATCCCCTTCACTGCTTTGGATGTACACACTGTTAGGCCTTTCAGCTTTGTTTAAGTATTTTGTGCAGGAGACTGGAATCCTTTACTGTTTGTGTGTGCACGTGAGAGTGTGCAAACATGGTGAAATCCAGTAGCTACATGAAGAAGTTAATAGGAATTTTTTTAAGCTACTGAACTATTTCTCTGCTTCTACTGTTTCAATTTATCATTCCTTAAAATTCAATAAATCCAATACCAAACCATTAAGCAATTCTGTATCTGCTTCAATAAGTAATGTTTGATTAATGATAAGAAGAATGACTAGGGGTGGTATTACCAGGAAGACCCATGCAGTACAATATATTTTCTCTGTCCTACTGGAAAAAAATATTGCTTTACTGAGAATAGTACTGTCTAGCAATGGCAGACCCTTGAGCGGAAATTCAAGGATGCCATTACTGTATCTGTGACCTGTGTGAAGGCTGCATAGATCTGCTGCTTTTTATCTCCCCCATGTGGTTAAGAAAGTTAGTGAGCTCGCCTAAGAGCAGCAGCTTCCTTCTCCTCCAGAGCATCCTCAAGTCAGATGAAAAGACTAGTGGTGGTCTAGGAAAACTGTAAGGCTGAACAAAAATTCATTAAGAAAGCAGAAAGCACAGAAAATGCCCAGTCTCACAAGTGACTTAGTTACTCCACATATTCCCACATAACCCCTAAATTTACCTCTTAACTCCCTTTCCCGCATACAAATGACTGAGTTACAACTTGAAAAAGTACCCACGTTTGACAGTTTACAAGTGGGTTTAATCACCTCAGTACAGATTTACTAATAATTTATAATCCAATTTGTCTTTGAAATAACTAATATTTCAAGCACCTGGTATCAGAGGTATCTCAACTAGTATAATCTCATCACAATTAATAGCCTCAAACCATTCAGTTGCCATCCATCACTACTTCTCACACAGCACTGATTACAGTTACTTTCCATTTTTCTTTAATGTCTCCTGTAAATTACAGCAAATAAGTAGACAGCCTTCACCCTTTTAATTCTATGTATATTTAAATAGTGGTTAAAAGGGTACAGAAATAGAGAAGGAGAACCTTACTGTTATTTTAGCTGTGTTCTAAATCTGTTATAAACATTAATGTAGCTGTAGGCCAGTTTAGGCAGGATATAAATGACTGTCCTCTACTTTGCTCTTTTCTTCAATCATTAAAATTTACTTAATATTCATGAAAAATACTTTTTATCCCTGGAAGCTAAAAGCTTCTCTTTATTCACAGAACAATTACGCCTCTGGCTGTATCATAAATTACCTACATTATCAGGATAATATACCTATAACCTTATCTGGAGGACCAATCATAGATATGAGAAAAGAGGTTTGTTTTCATGCCTAATAATTAATAAAAATGGTTTGCTGCTCATTTTAGTTATAAAAAGTGCTCTTTACTTATGGTTGTTAAATATTACCAGGATGACCAGGAAATCTTTCAAAGTCAGTGAAAAATTTGAAATAGCGAATTTCTCCTGGTGTTTGTGCTTACTGCTCACACACACTGAATTTCCCAAGAGATATATATGAAATTTGGTGATTGATCTTCCCAAAGAAAGGCCTAGCTGGAAGCAGCTGGCTTGAGCTGGGAAAAAGCAGTCACCAAACAGGCATCTTTCTCATTATGACAGGCAAGGGTGGCATTGAAGGTGATATTAAAACACTTTTCTTGCCTTGTCAAAGCTGTCCCTGCAACTGGGATGAAACACACACAGTTTACCACAAACTGAAGTTCAAAAGTACACCTGAACTTCCACTTCGATTTGGAGGGAAAGAAAAAAAAAAGGAGAAAAAAAAAAGGAAAAAAAAAAAAGGAGCAGAATTCAGTAGAAACAACTTAGGAATTACAACTTTTACTTCAGGTGTAACCTTATGGATCCACTGCTGTTTTATGCCCACAACTTTATACTTCATTTTTTATGGCAAGTGGTGATGTTACAACAGCTAAGACTGAGAGTTGTTTTAGTCAAGTGTCCATTCTTACCCTGCAAAAGTTTTCAGAAAAATTCATGATGTTGATTGAAATTCCAGTGTTTATCTATTCCCAAAGCAATATTTTCTCCCACAAAGTATGAGCAAGATTCTTCCTAGATCCAGTAGGGGATACAGTGGAGACCCATAAATTAAAACATTTTTTGTTTTAAAAAAGATTTTAAATACATTGGTCTTAAGGCTAAAACAAATAGGCTTAAAATCTAAAAGCTGATTTGGATAAAAATCTCCCCTAAGTAGTAATTAAATGTCACTTTCTACATGAAAAATAATCTGTAGCACACATACCAGAGAACAGTTATATGATTACTTTCAAGAGAGAATAATCGAAATTACAGGTTTGACAAGCATATAACATGACCAAATTAAACACTGTTTTTCTGCTCTGCATCATTTATAGATATAGAATTTGCTTTTTAAACAATATTGACATTTGGAAATTGTTTATGTAATAATAAATGTATGAAACCTTTTTCCTGTTTAAGTTCCCAAGCTCTTCCTGTAGCTAGACAACAGCGTTATCCTTAGTTCATCATAATAATTTTTGTAAAGTTTCTTTGTAACTAGTTCCTGTGCACAAGTGAAAGAACAAAACCAATAATAAAGTTCCTCAAGACTCTACTCTTAAGAGTAGTTTCTAGTTCTGTAAACTCAATAAGTCACCGCTGATGCTTGTTAATACAGCAGTAGGAAACGGTATGAGCACTAGCAAATTAGAGAAGCTTCGCAGTGATTTCCAGTCTGTGTCACCCGTCCTTCCTGGCCTTCGCCCTTAAGAGAACCCAAGTTTGAACATCAGTGGTCAAACACTACCAAACACAGTGGGGTCAACACTTAGCCAGCTGTATGCACTGTACAGGGGGCTTCATGCCCACCATACAGTGAATACTGTGCCATGGAATTGGCTGCACAAACAGATAAGTGGCTTTTTAATATTATTATATTGCGCATGTCTCCTACATAAGTTTTAGAGTGTATCTGCATACCAACTGTGTACAACTTAAAAGCTGTGCAATATAATAAAGAAAAATGCCACTTACCTGACTTTCAATAATTGTGTCTATAAGAATTCAGAGTCTCACTAGTATGCTAAATATCAGCATGTCATAGGGGAGCAAAGAATCAGTCTTTTGACAACGAAGAATGTCATGTAGCCTAAAAAAAAATTACAAATGGTTTTTGCTTCTCTAAGAGAAAAAAACAACTAGAAAAAACAACTATATTAATTTTTTCTGTTGGGCCAATCACTTAGGCTTTCCTTTCAATGAAACAGAAAGTGTTTCTCCACTTTCTGTCACAGGTGCTTCTGCCACTCCACATACTATTTCTATATTCTTTTAAAAGAGATTCATTAATTTTCCTTAGTGTTTTTTCTAGTTTCTACCTCCAATAGATACACCTCTTTCTAAATCTATTTAAACCATGTTCAGGGGCAGGAAAGAGTGTAAGAAAGTTGGAGGAATTTCAAAGCCAGACACAAAAAATTACTGTCAATAACCAAAATAATTGTTTCTAAAACTACAGAAAATATACTGCAGTTTTAGAACACCGTTTAAGTGTTCCATCAAGCTTAAATAGTAAAAATAAAAAAAACCCCTATATGTTGAGAATGCATCAGTCTCATAGGTGTCTTGACACAGTATGATAAATAAAATTAATGAAAATGTGACTTATAAAGAGCTGGACAAAAAAACCCAAACCCAAAACCAAACAACCCAACCCTACCAAAAGCAGACGAAACCAGAAAACCCTACCAAATTCTGGAAGACTGAATTGCAGTGTGCCACTAATAAAATTTATACATCAAACTTTGATTACAATAATAAAAATTACTTACCCTTTACAGACATGCAATACAAAGAGATATGCTGAAATATTGATACACAAAACAACAGCAAGCACTCTAAGATCCTCTTACTGCAATGAAAGCTTAATTGGTGGGAAAAAAGTAGGTTCAATTTTCTGCAGAGGCATACTTTACTTGTACTCAATAATCGGGCTAGACAGATAACTAATGCCCAAGTGTACAGCATCCTTTGATATGGAGTACAGAAACCTCAGGTACAGAACAATTTATGGAGGCAAAATTCAGCCCCTTCTGACTGAGGTCAACTGAAAACCAGCTTTACATGTGAGATAAATAGGAAAAGGAGTAACATTTCTAGCCTGACACTATCTATGCAGTGGTAATTTTAAGATACCATTGATCCTTCTAAGGCTATGGTTTACAATGATTTAATTTCCTTCTTATTCACAATATCTCCAGTTCAAACAAACCAACCTCTATGATGTAAAACTCTGCTGGGTTTTGGGGGCAGACTGTAGTAATATATTTTCCTCTGGCATTACATAGTATTCCAGTTAACATTTCTTGACTCCAGTTTGAAGTTCAGTTTTGCAAAGATATGTGCCAGTGAAATAACAAAGGCTGAACTTCAGGTTTATAGTCAATTCTACACAAACTCACAACAGAATGAAGAATAAAATGTTTAAAACTCACTTTTAAACAACCATAAAACCTCCACTGTTTCTCTGCAATATCTGGCCAAAATCTTTCTGTATTGGTGCTTTTCATTACCAATGCTCAAAAGTTTTAACAATAATTTGCTCAGTGTCTATTGCTTATTAAGGTTTCCATCCCCAGATGCTCAATGGAAGCAGAATTCAAATCTGAGGAAGAAAAAAGTAAACTTGAATTTCTTCACAGATTACATAGGAACTAAACTCTTTGGGATCCTTGAGAACAAATTCAAAACTCATACGAACTTTAAATCCAAACCACTGTAAGCTCTCTAAAGGAAAGCTGAAGATCTAAAAGGCAGTTCCTAAAAGAAAAATACACTCACAGCACCCAACACCAAAAAGCATTTTCATATTAAGCGAGCTGTAAACCAGCTTTGTTATATACAAGTGAAGGATTACCTGTTATAAAAAGTGAGAATCCAAGAAAATAGGCAAAGGTAAAATGCATAAATAATGTTCTACATGACTGAAGTTTGTGGCAGAACCAGAATTAAAAGGTGATTTTTCAAAAATTCTGTTCTGTGATTAACTCACAGTCTTTGCAAGTTTCTTAGGTATCCAAAAAAACCCCAAGGATAAATATACAAAGCTTTCACACTGTTATAGGGCAAAGGGATTACATTATTCTACTCTTGCCAAATTCCATTAATACTACTTAAATGTTTTCTTTCATCTCAGGAGAGATCTTTTTTTCCAGTGTCGTGTTCTTTGCACTTGTTTTTTAGCTGTGGCATTGCTCTCCATGCATCCTCTTTTTCACTAAATGGTGACTACCATTTCATATAGGTAAAATGAAATATCTGCAAAAATATCTGTAATTAATCTAAAGTTGTGCCATAGAAGCACAGTCCTTGCATGTGGTTTCAATCTTTCAGATGAAAAGACTATGCCAACAACTATTTGTACCATGGGTAAAAAACCCTCAAACTATTTATTAAGGAGAATGTTACAGCAGCACCTGTTTGTTGTCTTATAGTTAAGAGCCCCAAGGAGAGCTTTGAAAGAAATGTGTTCCCACGAGCAAGGGCTATGCAGCAAACACATAACTCTCTCTTAAAATGCCTTTGAAAATTCTGGGGAGAAGAATGCATTCCATGTCTTAGCCATTGTTTTCCAAAAGGCTCCTGATGAAAAGAAAGCATGTGCTTTAGTTAATGGTTAAAACAATCATATACTAGCACTAATAATCTCTAAAGATACCAAACCCATAAAATACCAAAAACAATAACACAGCAAAACCCCCTACTACATGTTTTAGATAGAAAAGAACACCTACATCTTCCACAATACCCCTACAAAAAATTGTATCATTAAATCACTAAACACTGCAGGACTATCACATATTTTGGACTCCTCCAAGGAGGCTGCAAGGTAGAATGTCACTAGGAGCCTTCTGGTTCTAGTGAGAACCAGAAGTTCACCATACAGGGAGTCAAGAAAGTGCAGTCCATCTGCAAAATACAATGTTTTACTGACATCCTCTTCATCCTTCCCACCTGTCTGTGATACAGGACTTCAACACTCCATGCACAAGCCCTGGGATACAGAGACCCTCACTGGCTTCAATTGTGGAGTAACAACTTCCTTCCCCTTCCCTCCAGAGAAGTGCTGGGGAAAGCAGGTATGGGACCACATCAGGAGTGCAGCCCCCTGCAGAAACACCCTCAAGGTGGGCTGAGCAGTGCCTTGAATTATGCAGAGTCACTGCTTTGTACCTTTGGTATCACTCACTGTCACATACAGTTGGAATTGGTTTGCTGCCTATCTTGGTAGTCTTGTCTTCTGATACATAACTGTAAGCTTCTTGCATTTTAGCTCAGTAACAAATGGTAGAAACAAGTCAAAAGAACTGTGTGTTGATACCTACAGCACAGGAGGACAGTCTGCTAACAAGAACAGACTAAATATTTGTAGAAACCACAAATTTAGTGCTTTTTTGTCCTTACTACAATAGCAGTGAAATGCTTAATTCTAAACAGACAGTATCACAATCCAAACAAATCTTTGAAAAGTGATATTTGCATTCCTGCCATCCCAAAATTCCCTGTTGCTTTCACAACCAGATAAACAATGATAGTGAATTTTCAAACAGGTCAATACCTCCAAAACCTGAATCTCAGCTAAAACCCAACTGGAAAATTTTGGCAAAAAACACTTTTCTAAAAGTGGCCTGGTATATCAATATAGTACAGCACAGATTTTTACTACGGGTGTGATTTTTATCTCACTGGGATATTGGAGACAGCATTTCAGCATCATTTGAGTCACAGTCTCCTGAATGGGATAACAGAGAGCAGGAAATGTCATCAGCTCCTTCTCCTCTTCTTGGATTTCTTGGCACTTGAATCATGTTGTTACCTTACTTAATCCAAAACCAATACAATTGTGACCTGGAGACACAGACTGGCAAAACAGCCAGCTGGATCAGAACAGATGTGGTTTCCTGTTTCAGACCTGCCTCTTACAGAAATCTTCTTTTGACTGTAAGTTGCTCTTCTGGCTTTTTTAAAAAAATTATTATTCTCCTTTTAAAACATGAATTGAAGGATAGTAAGGTTTAAGATCAAGGTTTAAAGTCATCTGGAGGTGGATGAGCACGTACATACGTAGAGCAGCCAAAAGGAAGGAGCACCCAGCACAATACCTAAATAAGGACAGATTACCCAGAGCTATTTAAGATATGAGCAGAATAGCAGGAGCAACTCCAGTGGAGGAAAAGCTTCTGCATGCAGTCTTCTTCATTATGAAGACTGAGTACACAAAAAGTATGTGAAATGTTTACAGCTTTGTTTGCTTTTCACCTTCCGACTGATCCCAGGATTAACAATTAGTCCATGAAACCAAAGGTAAAAGTCCAGTAGATCATATGATCCTTGCTGTATCTGCCCAAACCCCTAGCATTTCCAAATCAGAAATATGTGCAATTGATTCTTTCAATATAGGAATATTTCCAGGACAGATATTGCTTAAATGGATCTCAGTAACACAGAATTTACATTGTCCCCCTCAATGTGACTTCTACTAACTGCCCTGTTTATCCAATAATACATAAAAGAAAACGAACAGCTATCTGAAATCCCCCTATTATCCCTCCAAAGAAATGTCACTGAAAGATACTTTGTGTTAAATCAGGAGATCGAGTTCTCAGTTCTTTGAAAAATTTTAGTATTTAATGGTAAGTATTTAATGGTTTTTATTACAAAAGTGTTCTGATCTGATGGGTTCACTGTGAACACAAGAGACTGAGAGTGGTAAAGAGTGGAACATTTATAAATAAATGTAATAATATCACAGTTAAATTCAGGCCAAAATGCCAAGTCTTTCTAATACCATAGTCAGATCTACTCACCTCCTACTTTCTGTGCAAGGAAGAGAGATGAAACTTTATATTACTTATCACAATGTGGGACATTCTGCCTGGAAATTTTAAAAGCTGTTAAATTTCTGTCTCTGTAATCCAAGAAAACCCAGAGTTTGACTGCAGTGAGTTTTCTTAACCATTGAATTCATATTCCATGCTAGGATATCCTGCATCCCATACTGTGCAGTTTGATGGATGATTGTAATAGCTAGGGTAAAATTGGTATGTGGCATGGAAATTTTTTGCAAGAGTGGTAGGATTTTCAAATGCT